ACCCTATATGTCTCACCGGCTCACTCTGTTCCAGCTTCCATAAAGAAGGAAATCTTGGATGGAAAGGATGGAAATCTAGTGTCATTACTAATAGCCTCTCAAGACATCCTAGAGAATAGAGCTTATAATTATGGGGACATTTCAGAGATCCTCAACTTAACAAAAAACTTTCCATCCCCCAGTTTGTTATTGCATTTGGCATTTATCATGAAGTTATCAGACCCATTTCATTCCTGGGCAAGGCGCAGGTGTGCAATAATTTTAATTCCGGGGCATGCAGTTTCAGTGCATGCAGATTGTTTCACATTTGCTCCATCTGCTTCAGAGCACACACCAAGACTATGTGCCCGGCCCGACTGTCACCCAAGGAATGACTAACTGAGGTTAACCTTGACATCCTGGCTTACTACCTGAGTTCACACCCAGCTAGGCATCTCGTAGGTTATCTGGTGATGGGTTTCTCACAGGGGTTTTACACGGGCCTCATTGCCATCCCCACAGATTCACTTGAATGCCTAACCTATTATCAGCATCCAATGACCTGCCCATTATCCACTACCTGGACGATTTTTGTTGATTGAACCAGGCTCACAAACACCAAGCAGTATTCACAGCACCACAGCCCCTTTTCACTACACTAGGGGTTCCTTTGTCACCAAGCAAACGATTGGTCCCTCTCCCAAGCTTGTTTCTTCGGCATTGTCTTAGACACCACTACGTTCCAAGCCAGCCTACCACCCGAGAAATTGACGCACATTAGGGATGAAATTGGCCTGTTCCTGTGGAGTATTCCATGCACAAGGAAGGGACTCCAGTCCTTGTTGGGGTCCCTTGGCTTCGCCATGTGCATCATTCCGCAGGGTAGATCTTTTGTCTCTGGGCTACTTAATTTGCTACATGGAGCGCCCGACTCCTGCCCAATCATACTGGACGCTCCTGCCAGGGCAGATCTACTGATGCAGAGTAGATTCTTTTTTTTTATTTATTATATTTTTTTTATTTTGCATGTTCGTTATAAGCGTTACATGACGTATAGCATTTTGAAAAAACAGTATGACATATAATAATACATTCAGACTTCGTACAAACAATTTACACTTGAGTAACAGATTAGCTTTTTTTTTTTTTTTTCAATTGGTTACGAAAAATAAAACAATTTATGTATACAATATTATTAGCGACTATTTGTCCTGTGAGTTTCCCACCTACGAATCTGTGAGAGTGCTCGTGTATTCTATATATCCTCACTCTATTGTGAATTAAGTCTAACACCCTAAGTATAATTTTTGAGATAAGCTTTCCATGGTTCCCACATTGTTTGGCACAGCTGTGATTTCCCTATTGTGGACATCCTTAGTTCCTCCAGTTTATATATATCATCAATTCTCCTGAACCATTCTCTCCTTGACAGTCTTTTGCTAGTTTTCCAGAGCCCTGCTATTACTACTTTAGCTGCGGTAAGGAAGTACAGTATTACTGAGTTTCGAAACGTGCGCATAGTTACCGGGATGTTGTAAAAAAGAAGTGCTTCGGGTGTAGCTAGGATAGTTGTGTCACTAAGTTTGCCTGTAATCCTCGCCACTTCTCTCCAGAACCCCACTACTCTGTTACACAACCACCATATGTGTTGGTATGTGCCTCATTCTTGCAGACACCTCCAACATAGCGGTGAGGTATTGGTATCGTATTTGTTGGCGTCTACAGGTGTTATATACCAGTGGGAAAGAAATTTAAAATTTGGTTCTTGTATTGTTATGCTAGAGTGTGATTTCATCATTTTAGTGAAGGTAGTATGCCATTTTTTTTCTTCCCACGGGGTTGACAACCATTGTTGGTGTTTTGCAGTGAACCACGGGAGAGAGTTGTTCGTACATTCTTGGATTAGTTGATAACACTTAGATACTATTTTGGTTTTCGGCGGCGTGGAGCAGAGTTTTTCAAATTGGGTCTCTTCTCTTGGCTGCCAGTGTAAGAGTCCTTCTTTATGTAAAAAATGTTTTAGCTGATGATATTGGAATGTTTGAGTCATGGTTGGATAGTGTGTGTCCGCAAGGTCAGTCAGTGGTAATAGTCCGTCCCTAGTGACTAGGTCTCGTAGTGTTATATTTCCGTCGCCCGGGTTAGGTATGGTCTTACTCATATTCCTGATGTCCCTGCCTGCTGGAAATCTCGGGTTATGAGTAATCGGGAATCGTGGCGAAGGTGTCGGTGTGAAGTGGCGCATTGGATTTATATTTGCCCATACTTCAAGAGTGGCCCCTATGGTGGGTAGGTCTTTTGGGGAGTTTCCTTTGCCTGTCAGTACTGTCCATGGGAGATATTGAAGGGGGGTTGCTACTTGAGATTGTTCTATTTGAACCCATGCCTTAGTGTCTGTCTTTCTTGTCCATTCCAGTATCCTCCCTAGGTGTATTGCCTTATGGTAATTCTGGATGTGTGGGCATCCCAATCCCCCTCTCCCCTTTGGTTTGGCCAGTATATTGAAGGCTAAGCGCGGGCGCTTCTTTGCCCATATAAAAGTTGTAAGTATCGTCTGAATTGAGCGAAAAAAGGCAGTCGGGATATGTATAGGGATAGTGTTCAGAAGGTATAAGATGCGTGGTAATATATTCATGGATATAATGTTTATTCGTCCCATCCATCGAAAATGTGGTATATCCCATCTATCTAAGTCTTTTTTGATTGCCGTGAGTATGTCAGGGAAATTTTCTCTATATAGGGTTTTATGAGTGTTAGTTATTTTTATCCCAAGATATTTGATGGAGTTGGGCGCCCATTGGAACGGGTATTTGCATTGCAGGCTATGTACCTGTCCAGGGGGCAAGTTAATGTTGAGAATTTCGCATTTGTCAATGTTGATTTTGAAGTTAGAGACTTTACTATACTCGGATAGAGCTCCTGTCAAGTGGGGCAAACTGTGTAATGGGTTTACAATGGTGAATAGTAAGTCATCGGCAAAGGCCGACACTTTATATTCCTGTTGGTTAACCCTGATGCCTTGTATATCAGGATTAAGTCGCACTGCCTGTAGAAGGGGTTCTAGAGAAAGAATAAACAATAGAGGGGATAATGGGCACCCCTGTCTGGTGCCGTTACTTATCTTAAATGGTTTTGAAAGTTGGCCATTTACCTTTAGGCGGGCTGTGGGCTGAGAGTATATGGCTCTTACCCATTGGATCCATCTGTTACCAAATCCCAACATCTCAAGTGTGGTTATAAGGAAGGCCCAGTCCACCCTGTCAAAGGCCTTTTCTGCGTCTATTGCCAGGAGTAGTGTTGGGGTTTGTGTGTATGAAGTGCAATGAATTAGATTTATAATTTTGGATGTGTTATATTTTGCTTCCCTAGCAGGCACAAAGCCTGCTTGGTCTGGATGGATTAGATCTTGGAGAAATGGTTTAAGTCGCAAGGCCATCATTTTAGTAAAAAATTTTATATCCACATTTATGAGAGATATTGGCCAATAACTGGCGCATTTCTCCAGATCTTTCCCTGGTTTGGGTAACAGCGTGATTGTCGCCTCCAACGCCTGACTCGGTATAAGGTTGTGTTGTGGGATAGAATTGATTGCTTCTAGCAAATGTGTATTAAGTTCCGCTTGAAACATCTTATAGTAGGAGGCCGAGAACCCGTCCGGCCCCAGGCTCTTGTTGTGTGGTGTCTGTTTGAGTGCCATTTTGAGTTCATCTAATGTGAAGGGTTCTTCTAATGATCTTGTCGCCACAGACGGCAAAGTTGTGTCGAATTTGTTCTCCAAGAAGTTTCTCAAGTCTTCTATGTTGGGTCCCCTCTCTTTCAGATTATATAGTGAGGTGTAGTAAGTGTGGAATGTATCGGCTATTTCTTCTGAGGTGTAAGCGAACGACTCATCTGAGCGTTTGATTTTGGGGATGTATGTGAGCGCCTGCTTTTGTTTAAGAGCTTGTGCGAGTAGTTTGCCACACCTGTTTCCCTGCGCATAGTATCTGTGTTTTGTCCATAGGATGGCTTTCCGAGCCTTGTCTTGTAGTAGTGCGGTAAGTTCTGTCCTATGGGCGAGTAGTGAACAGTAAATTGCGTCCGTCATGTCAAGTTTGTGAGCGTTTTCTAGTTGTGTAATTTTTTTGTAAAGTTCCTCAATCTGTTTATTTTTTTCCCGTTTGATTTGGGCCCCCCATTTTATTAGTTCTCCCCTTACTACTGCCTTATGTGCTTCCCATTGCACAAATGCAGAGGTATCTGGGGTTTTATTTTCTTGGAAGTAGAGCCTGATCGTGTTCTGTGTCGCTTCTCTAACTGTTTTTGTTTGCAGCAGGTTGGGATTGAGTTTCCATAGTCCCTTGGGTCTGGGGAGGGAGGGGACAGTGACTGTGAGGTAGATAGGAGAATGGTCCGACCAAGTCATTGGGCCTATGGAGGTGTCTGTTACCAGGCTTAGGTCTCTGTGGGAAATCAGGAAGTAATCTATTCTAGAATAAGATTTGTTCGGGGAAGAGTAGTGTGTATAGTCTTTAGATGTTGGATGATATATCCTCCAGCAGTCTGCTAATTGATGTGTGTGGATGATGTGTTGCATTTGTAATCTTGTGGCTGTGAGATGTTTACAGCTAAGAGACGTGCTATCTTTTTTGGCATCTAGCGAGACGTTAAAGTCTCCCCCCATGATAAGTACGCCGTTTGCATGTTGTTTAATTTTAGCCAAGATCTTTCTGAGTGCCCCGCATTGGTGTTTATTGGGGAGGTATATAGAGACAAGCGTAATTGGGTGCGTCCCCACCGTGCCCTGTAAAATGATAAATCTGCCTGATTCGTCTGAGATGTGAGTGGAGTAAGTAAAAGGTACGTTAACTCCTATTAGTATAGCTACTCCCCTGGATTTACTCTTGTTATAATTATTATAATACACTTGTTTGAATTTCGGGTGTTTGAGTTGTGGTGCATTCGGGCCCTTTAGGTGAGTTTCTTCGAGAAATGCAATGTCTGTTTTATTTTTCACCAGGTCCGTTAGCACCATTTTTCTTTTTTCTGGAGTATTAAGCCCTCTGACATTTAGGGAACATATTCTCAAAGATCCCATGATCCTAAATCTGTCTATTCTAGGCGCCTAGTTGCGCTTTGGATAGTATTGGTTGTACTAAGATTTATGTGTATGTGGTGTTTACGTGAGTAAGAGGATACTTTGTGTTGGGAGAGAGTATGTTTGAAGGCTTGGCGTATGAATTTTCACAGCACAGGAGTTCAACAACAAATAATTCTAAAAGAACAGAAAATTAACTATTTACAATTTAAACTGGAGTATTTATCGAACTTGGCGTCCTACGAGGAGTAGTTCTAGAGAGAGGTTGAACTTCCTCGTGGATTAATAGAGGCCTGAAACACTTAGCTATATAGGTTTATGTTATGGGATAGTCTTTCCAGACCCCTATGGAGGAGACGGTACAATTCCCTGACTATATCCAGTAATTTTATACTGGCTCAGGGGTGAATAAGACACAAAATCAAAAACGTAGAGTTTTTAGGTAGGTACCGCTCAGGACCTCAACTGGTCCTAATTTATGTCCGGCGGGAGCGTGGACACTTTGACTAAAAGGGATTTGTTCACTTTGGGTTTAAATCAAGGGTAGATCAGCTGGATGCAACTTCGGCACCTGTGCAGCTTCCCCTTAGGCGGTCACGTTTCACTTTGCATTGTATTACTGGTCAAGTATTGGGCTCAATTGTGATTAAAATCTGTAGTGATCTACCTGTAAAGCCTGATTTTGTGGTTATAACCGCTCTTGAACCTAAATCACCTTTCTCGGTGTGGCCTTACAGTTCTCAATGCTATAAATATTAGTTAACCAAAACATTAATTGTACATTTGTACCAACTTATCGATAGATCTATAAGACATATTTCTACTGTTCATAGTTACCGCTTCCAGAGCCCTTGAGGTGGGCGTTTTCAGAGTTAACAGTCTGACAATGAAGATGTGCATTATCATTGTGGGTACTGTACCCATGTTATATGTCCTTTCGTCTGTGCTCAGATTATTTTCCTCGGGGTCCCTTGCGGTCTCTTCGGTCTCATGAAAGGCGATGCAGGTGGGGTCTTCCACGTCGTCCTCCTTCTTGTATCTGCAGCTTGACCTTTCATTCTTTGAGGATGAGGTGGAATTTGTTCGGGTTCTGTTATGTCGTACCAATCCTGAATATCAATATTGGGTATACCCAGGCGCTGAGTGAAAGCCTCTGTTTCCATCGCCGATGTTAGTGTGGCTTGGGCGCCCTGATGTGTGGCTGTCAGAGAGAAAGGATATCCCCATCGGTATTTGATGTTGGCCTGTTGTAGTGCCTGTGTGAGTGGTCTCAGGGTTCTTCTGCCTCTCAGAGTAAGCCACGCCAGATCTGGGAGAAGCAATATTTTTGAGTTGTTGTACATAATGTCTTCCGTGTCTCTGGCTTGCCTCATGATGGCTTCCTTTTCAGAGTAATAATGTACTCTGCAGATCACATCTCTGGGGGAGTCAGGAGAAATATGCTTAGGCCTCAGCGCCCTGTGGGCTCTGTCTAGAAGAATATGCGTCTCTGCTGGCCTCTGTAATATTTTGTTAAAGAGAGATTGCAGGGTCTGGTGTAAGTCTTCAGGCGAGCCTTGTGGCTCTGGTAATCCCCTTATTCTTATATTGTTCCTGCGGCCTCTATTGTCCAAGTCTTCTGTGTTTCTCATTATGTATAGAAGTTTGCTGTCACTGCAATTTTGGTTGCGTTCTAGTGCCAGGACCCTGTCTACCCTGCTGTTTACTTGCCTGATCTCGGAGGACAGTGAGGAAATCTGATCCTGCATTGAAGATTCCAATTTAGACAGCATGTCTGCCAAATCATCTTTAGAAGGTAGGTTTCTTAATATTTCTTTCATGTCTGCCATCCCCCATTCCGGAGCTGAATCTGATCCTTCCAGGCTATGCGGGGAAAAGCACTGTGGGGAAGATGGCGCCTGAATGCCTTCGTCTAGGCCGTCGCCTAGAATCTTCACCGTGTCGCGAAAGTATTTGTCCAGACCGCCGGGATTTTTCTGCGTGCCCGGGTCCGGTAGGCTCTGGGAGGGTATGGGTTTCTTTTTATTGCCCATTTTTGTTGTGTAAACTTCGTTTTTATCCAGTTTTATCGCCGCCGGCCAGGGAGCTCCGATCAAGTGCGTCCGCTCACATTAGGTGTCAGGCCACGCCCCGCAGAGTAGATTCTTGGCCGAATGGAACAGGGTCTCTTTGTTCATGCCTCCACTATCACAATCTACACAGATGCAGCAGCACACACAGGGTTCGCAGCTATATTCAGCAACCACTGGTTTAGGGATAACTGGCCCACTGAGACGGAGGCCTTGCTGGCCTTTAGAGAAACATCCACATTGTTTGAAATCTACCCCATCGTGGCAGCTGCCCATACATGGGGTCATCTCTGGACCGGCAAGCAATAAAAAACGCTACTCAGACAATTCCGAAGCTTGTGAAATCATTAGCAAGGGACGGCCATCCTCGTTAGGCTGATTCGCAAGATGACTTGGCTGGCAGCAACCTCTCAGTTCCACCTAGACTGCATACACATGCCCGGTGTCCATAACTCAGCTGCTGATGCTCTTTCACGCTCTCAATTTCAGGTCTTCTTCCAGGCACTCCCTATGGCCCATCACCTACCTTCCAGGATACCACCTTTCCATGAGCGAATCCTGGATTAAGCGGGCTATTACACCACGCACAGGCTCTCAGGCACCACGCACTTTCACCCAACACCAATATCACTTACGCTAGGGCACTGACTATTTTTAACAAATTCACTGCAGTGTTTTACTTACGAGACTTTTCCATTAAAACAATAGTGGCTTTAGTCTCCTTCTGTCACCTACACCTTAAATTATCACATAATACCATAAAACTTTACCTTACCGAGGCACAACACCATGTCCTCACAACCTTTCCTAATCACGCAACTTTCTTAACTTCCTACCCTATTAAGAAATCCTCAAGATTACTTAGTATTAGTAAATTATGCCCCTACTCACTATACTGCGAGTAGAGGCATGTCTAGTAAACAGTGAGCAGCGGGTGGGGCCCATAAAGTAAAATAAGAGGGGGACCTACTGTCCTCCCCTCCAACCCCCCAGCCCCGACCCCTGAGCGGCGGGTGGGGGCCCTAGATATCAATAAGGGGGGGGACCTTATTGATAAAAATTTACCCCCCCCCTCGGGTCACTCACCTCCCCAAATAAATAACTCCTACCTACCCCCCTCATCCTAAATAATGAGGGGAGACCATTATCTAGATACCTGTAAAAAAATAAAATAAACTTACAGTTTGACTCATAACACTCTGATTGGTGGATTGAAAGTAACCAATCAGAGTGTTTTGAGTCAAATTACACAGCGTGTAAATTCCAAAGAATTTACCACGCTGTGTAAAATGACACAGAGCACTCTGGTTGGATTTCAAGCTAACCAATCAGAGTGCCATGACAGGTAAATGTAGAGACTTAAACCCACAATTAGAGTGCTCTTAGCCTAATTGCAGGGTGAGGCAAGGCTTTATAAGCCTTCCCCTGCCCTGCAGAGCTCAGTCTGCGCGGAGCCCTCCATGGGTGAATGGGTGAAGATGGATTTTCTTTTTTTTTGCATTGGTTATTATGGATTTTTATTTGGCCTTTTTTGGGGCTGAAAAAAGAAGAGTTTAGAAGAAAGAAGACATAAAATGGTAAGTTTATTTTTTTTATTTTTTTTACAGGTATCTAGATAATGGTCCCCCCTCATTATTTTTAGGATGAGGGGGGTAGGTACGGATTATTGGTAATTTTTTTTGGGAGGGGGGTGACTAGAGGTTTGGGGACCCCTAGTCACCTGGGGGGGTAACATTTTTATTTAGGGCTCCCAACCGCCGCTCAGGGGTGGGGAATAGGGGGGAGGACACTAGGTCCCCCACCTTATTCTAACTTGGGGCCCCCACCCACTGCTCAGGGGGGGAGGACAATAGGTCCTTATTCTAATTTAGGGCCACCACCCACCGCTCAGGGGTGGGGCCCAGCGGGAGGACAATAGGTCACCCTTATTTGTATTTAGGGCCCCACCCACTGCTCAGGGGTGGGGCCTGGTGGGAGGACAATAGGTCCCCCCCTAATTCTAACTTAGGGCCCCTAAGAACATAGGGGTAGGCTCCCTTTTACTTAAACATTACCTGTTCGTGCATCCTTACCAGTTCATGCACTTCTGCGGTTCGTCGACTAAATTAGTTGAACGCTGGCTATACTTACGTTTCGTGGGTCCCTTATGCGGTCTAAACTACCGACCCTTGTTCGTGTAAACTCTGGTGTAAATTTCATTAAATTCTTGTCTACCGTTCGTTCATACAAACGAACTATGTACATGTATACTTACCCGTTCGTTCATTTAGCGGTTCATGCAATTTTCTGTTCGTTTAAAAAATCTGTTCCCTCGCATACTTACCCGTTCGTGCACTTCTACTGTTCGTGTGGAATTAGTTGAATTAAGAGGATACTTAAGCTTCAGTGGGTCCCCCATGCAGTCTAAACTGCTGACCCCTGTTTGTGAAATTATTAGTTTTCGTTCGTACGAACTAAACGAACATATATATACACTTACCTGTTCGGTTACTTAGCTGCTGGTATTAAAACTGTTGAAATTAGTTTAAAAATCTGTTTATTCTGCAACCAAGTACTACTACGTCTGTGGTTCTTGGTTTAATTATGTTTAAAAATATAAGATCCTCAGATGTATGACATTTTCTCAGAACTCGGTTATTATTCAGAGGCCTTTTTTGAGTCAACCCTATGTGTTTTAAGTTGTGTTAAATACTTAATAAATTCTTCTGACACCCAACTACTTTGGCAGAGTTTTCCAACTCCACACCAACCCCTTACGCCATCACAGAACATATATATTAATATGTAGCACGGTCCTCTGGGGAAATTTCCAAAACCCTACATTTCATATTCTTCTCTATAGCTTCTGCAGACATTAATCTTAGCTCTGTTACATTTCTTTGGTCTCCACAGATTGCCTGTTTGTCTTGTAAAACTGCATAAAGTTGTAAAATCCAAGTTCTTGTATTTACAATCCAGGTATAGTATTTACTCACTTCAGTTTTCAATCATGTCAAGGCCTCAGGCAGCCTTCACTCGAAACTTGTCACAAACGTACGGACCCTCTACTCTCGTATCATTTATGTCCAGTTAACACGGTCCTCTGGGGGAATTTGTTAATTAATATATAGTGTTATAACCACTTTTTAATAATTGTACAATGGTTTTAATCCCTAGCTACAACATTATTCTAGGCCTCCTCCGGTTTTCTCCGGACAAACCACTTACGCCCATCCAAGTACCTGTACAACAAATCAAGGTATAGTACTCTACTCATTACGGGGCTTTCACACTAGGCCTGACGCGG